GTGTGAGGAGGCCTCAGCCCCTTGCTAACTCAACAGGAGCATCAACAGGGGTGACACCACGGTCATGCTCTTGGCAGCCTGGCCAGGTCTGTGTGGAGGAGCAGAAGGTCAGCTGAGCTTTGAGCTGCGGTGCTTCCAGAGAGAGAAGCTGGGCTCCCATTCCTGAATGGCGCAGCACCCGCAGGGTTCTGGGGCATCCAGCGGCTCCCTCAGTGGCGCCAGGTCGAGGGGCCCTGTCCTGCCCTGCCTGCAGGCTGCTCAGCACAGAGGCCCATGTGATGCACCTCAACTGTGGTTGCTGCAGAAGGGGTAGCTCTGTTTCTTACTGCTGGGGCTTGTGTCTCCATGAAAGAAGGGCCCTCGTCACTGACCTTCCCCACATGCTGTGGCCACTCTGAGCTCTTGTGTTGGCTTGTTCAGGCCTTCGGTAAATAGGGTGTTGTATTTGGCAGTCGGAGGAGAGGACTGCAGCTTCTTTGGAGTTGTTGCAGGACTCCTGTGGGTGGCAGCAGCAATGAATCCACAGGGGAGCAGAGGTTTGGGTTCCTTTTAGACACAAGGACAGGACTGTGTCCCTCACTGAGCTTCTCCTGTTGAGAGGGGCCTGGGAACTGGGCTCTTCCCTTTCCAAGCCAGCTGAACTCACACAACGTGAAGAGCCGGCACCTCTGCTGAAATGCGCTCTGGATCACTGTGAGGAGGCACTGCCGTGCGCCTGGCTTGGTGTTCACTGCTTCTCCCCTTCTTTCTCTTCACTCCGCAGATAGATTTGGATAAACCCAAGTGACATGAAGATGCCCGGCTGAAGAAGCGAAAGATTCCTCTATCAACCCAATTATTATATTTCAATCTTACACAGAATGTTCTGTTTTTCTGTGCTTTTCAATGAGCTTAGGCAGTGCTCTGCATCAGAATTGCTAGTATTTTCTTCTTTTCATTATTGGTCGATTGCATTTTCTTTATAACCATTCCATATTGCTTTCATTGCCACTTTGTTGAACTATTGCTGTCTTTGGTGGCCTTCTGAGACAGGAATTAAAGCCTGCAAGTAATTGCCTCATTAGCAAGCTGGTTGTGTTTGGGCTTGTCTGTTCCAAACTGGTGCTCCATGCAGCTCCCTGGAATTACCCTTGTGCCGTGATCCGAGGTGATTGCGCCAGCCACCTAATGAGGATGAGAAGTGAATGTCGGCAGGGCAAGATGGGGACAGGCAAGTGATTGGATTTCTGGGAGATAGTGGGGCGAGAGGGCTAAGTCCTTGGTCCAGGTTCAGTCTGGGCCTAACTGAGGTAACAAACATCTGCCTGGGTAGTTCACAAAGAAGAGACTGGGCATGTGGTGATCAGTGTCAGCCTTGGCTGTAGAGGGACCATGATGTAGAGGAGCTTGAGGCACCAAATGGGGTGAGGAAGGCAAGAAGCAGAGTAGAGAGAATGGCCTTTTGGAGAGCAGCTCTTGGCTTATTGAGGAATTGAGTAGGTGGGATTCACATGGGAGTCAGCTCTGTGGGGTGAATCACCTCAGGAGAGCTGGCAGAGCTTTAAGGTCAGCACTTTCCAAGCACAAGTTGGTGACATTGCCCGGGGATGGTGCTAGGAAAGACAAGTCATCTTGAGATGGCTGCTTGCCAAAAGAGATCAGGGGCAACAAGGACCCCCTGTGCCAGTACGGTCGCAGTAAGGGGGTAGAGCAGAAAGATGTGTCCTCTGAGGGAATGGGGTGGGTGACCCGTGGCAGCAGACAGGGCTGAGGCTGAGGGAACGCCTGCCTTTGTGCCTCAGCGTTCACCAAGAGGATCTTGCAGCCCTCTGTGCTTAGCAGCAGAGCCCAAGTCCCAGGGGAAGTAGGAGAAGGACCCAGAGAGGCTGAGGCTTGTGTCAGGGCTTCCTTGAGAGAACTCAGCCCATACAGCCCAAGGGTCTAGGGGGGCTGGAGCTGCGGGTGCTGTGAGAACTGGCTGCGGGAAGGGACCTGCTGCTGCCTGTCATGTGTGAGGCCATGGAGCTCCAGGGGGAGGCCATGATGAACAGATGAGGGCCTGTGCTGCACCCATCTTCAAGCAAGGCCCAAAGGGCAATGTGGGGAACTTCATGGCAGGAAACCTCACTTCAGTGCCTGGACAAACACCCAGTTGCGAGTGCCCCCAGGACACCTTTCTGGGCACTTGAAGGAGAAGAAGGTCATGGACAGCAGCAGGAGTGGTCTGAGGAATGGACCAGCCAGCACGGGTTTGCCTCAGCAAGCCCTGCGTGACCAACCTGCTTGGTCAAATGATCGGACCTTCGGGAAGAAGGTCATGGACAGCAGCAGGAGTGGTCTGAGGAATGGACCAGCCAGCAAGGGTTTGCCTCAGCAAGTCCTGCGTGACCAACCTGCTTGCTAAAATGCCTGGATTTGCGGGCATGGGAAGAGCAGGGGATGCCGTTTGCCTCAGCCGTAGCAGGGCTTTTGGCTTGCCCACAATATAGGCTGCAGGGCTCTGTCTGGGCACCCATCCTGTTGAACATCCTCATGGAGTCACGGGGTCCGGGAGGGTCCGACAGCACCTCGGTGCAGGGCAGCACTGCAGACAGTGCCCGTGGCTGGAGGGAGCGCAGGGACTAAGGCACTTGTCTGCGCTTGTGGGGAGCTGGTGCAGCGCTCGCACTGGGACACGGCCTTTGCTCCGAAGGGCACAGCGCTCTCGTAGGGAACGCGCAGCCTGTACTTGTGTTTCCAGCCATCAAGTTCTTTAACCACCTTTGAAACTTGTTCAACTCCACAGTTTTTCATTTTTTTTTCCTTTTTTTTCCCTGCGTATCTTCTCAGTATGCATTTCAAAGCAGGAGTGAGAGAAATGACATCATTTGTAGTAATTCCTCTGCCAATTTGATAGAACTTTCAGTTCTGTTTCCTAAGCATAATCCAAATTGTTCCTGCCTCTCAGTATTTTGCCTTAATACATGATAAAATTCCTTCCTTCCTTCTGATGAAAGCAGGCAAGATAGGACCATTTCCACTGCGTTTTTAAATAAGTGAAATTAAAAGAAGCTTTTATAATGAATGAGATATTAATGGCACACAAATCATAGAATCATGGAATCATGGAGTCATAGAATGCTTAAGGTGGGAAGGGACCTGTAGAGCTCATCTAGTCCAACCCCCTGCACACGCAGGGTCACCTAGAGCACGTGGCACAGGGCAAGCAGGGTTTGAAGATCTCCAGAGAAGGAGACTCCACAACCTCTCTGGGCAGCCTGTTTCAGTGCTCTGTCACCCTCACTGTTAAGAAATTTCTCCTTAAGTTCCTGTGGAACTTTTGATGTTTCAGGTTCCAGCCGTTTCCTCTAGTTCTGTCGGTGTCCACCACTGAAAAGAGGCTCCCTGCCCCCCTTGAGTTCCTTATAGACACTGATTAGATCCCCTCTCAGCCTTCTCTTCTCCAGGCTGAACAGGCCCAGCCCCCTCAGCCTCTCCTCACAGGGCAGATGTTCCAGGCCCCTGATCATCCCTGTAGCCCTGTGCTGGACTCTCTCCAGCAGCTCCACATCCCTCTTGTACTGTGGAGCTCAGAAGATAAATGCAGATAATATATCAGATATAATGGTTCCTTATATCCATCCAGGTCCTGTATCCTTTCAGGCGTCACCCTGATTTCTTTGCCAGAGGTCAATTGGCAAAAAATGTCCCATTTTTATTTTGTTCTTATTATTCAGAAAAGAAAGCTAAGAATAAAGTATTATTGTCATTTTTTTTTTCATTGTAGAAACAAGTGGGAGAGGATGGATTCATAGTAAGATCAGTTCAGGACTCTTGGTCTGCTTTCATGTCTGTTCACCACACATCGACCATATTTGCATCCATTTCTTGGAAATATAAATGCAGACAATCATGCCTGTATCTGTCAAATAGTTGTGTCCTTGAACAAAAGCCAGATGGTTACCTGAGTGAGTAGGAAGGAAGAATAACAGGAAAGGAGGGGAAGAAAGGAAAGAAGGAAGGAAAGGAGTGTGCATAACTGCCGGTAAGGGGAGGGCTGTGTGGCTCACATGTAAGGGCTTTTATTTTCCCCATAACAAGATTTTTAGTGCAACCCTTGAAGAGCTTGTGCACCACGTCGTGGTTTGCAAATGCACCATGAGCTTTTGTATAGGCACTTATTACCGCTCCTGTGTCAAGTTCAATCTGCACACTGTTCAGGGAGAAAAGAAAGTGAAGCATTTCCATAACAACTGCGCAAATCATCCCTACATAGAGACTACTGCTTTGCAAGAAAAACTGGGGCGGAAGTTGCTCAACTCTGAGTATATAACCTTTGGAAGGGCAACCTCAAGGGCTTTTGGCATGAATGCAAGTAAATGCAATTTGGAGCACAAAAAACAGAAATTCTGTTGTAGGGGACCTGTTTTAATTCTAAAGTTTGGAAATGACACCGTTGAGCCTCACAATGTTGTTTCTGCTGTGGATGTGCTGTACTACACCTAAAGGTAATTTGCTAAATGGAAATCCATACTCTTAACTGATGTGGCAAGAGAACTTTGAGAGAAATGGATTGCAAAAAAAATTATCCAAACTCTATCACTTGTACTAGAATTCCTTGCAGAAGTTCATAAAAAGAAACATAATTGAGGTCAATGATTTGAGAATATGTGCTCTCTTTCTTTCTCGTGAGTTTCTTTCTTTATCTTGCACTTGTATATGTAGGGATATGGGTCATCTGGACATTAAGAAAATCTTGTGTGTGCCGTTGTCTGCAGTTCTCAGCATTCTGTTCTGTGCCTATCAAATAGTAAGAATTTGTGCAGGAGCCGCATTCAAGCAACCACGTGTTGTTGATTTTGAAGAAACTGGTAGTGGGGATAAACCAGGATACAAGGTAATTACCCGAGTACAGTTAAATGCCGGGGATCTGTGCACAGCTTCTGCCAGAGCAGCGTGTGAAGACCCACCTGCCATTGATTTTGGTGAAGTTGTTGGTGGAAATAAACCAGAATATGAGGAAAACGACAGCGTGCAATACACGTGTGACCCTGGGTACACATTATCTGGTTCAGAACAGGTGACATGCCATGAAAATGTCTGGACACCTGCACCGCCACAGTGTTTGGGTAAGGACCGCTTTTATTGCTGGCTGACTTCTTAAGAGTAGGCAATTCTAATCATTCTTAAAGTACAACTTTCTAAATTAGCTTGACATTTTGTGGTTAGTTGCTATGTCTGCAATGTCCCAAGACCTGCTTTTCTGCCTAGGCTGCCAGTTGCCCCTTATACAGGGGAGCGGCACTGGGTGCTCAGCTGCTTTGCTTTCTTGTTGCCTTTTCCTCCTTAAAACACCTATGTAGTTCATTTTTAATCTTGGGTAGTGGAGATACATATTTCCTCCCACTGCTTACTCCCATCAATTAATTATTTAGAATATTGCAGTCTCATGAAATGAGTTCATTTTGAGATCATCACTGATGTTTACAGTCTGTAAAGATGTCTTTTAAGCAGGTGAACCACAATACGCTTTTAAGTGTTCAGGAAGTGCTACATGAGCTAAAAGCCACCAAAGATTCATGCCACATCATTTTCCATTTCTTGTAGCTCCATGCTCCATTAGAAAACAGCATCTGGAAGCCAAAAAGTTACTTCTCTCCAATGGCCAAATACGCTCGCTTTTGATTCCAAGTGGGCAGAAGATGGAATTTATGTGCATGGCAGGATACCAGCTCACCAACAGTTCAACCGTGAAGTGTGTTGATGGGCACATGGATTTTCCTTCATGTGTTTCTGGTAAATACATACTATATTGGAATAATTTTGACTTCTCAGATGCTTTACAAAGCTTTATGCCTCCTGTTTCCTTTGCCGTGTGTCTGTGAGGAAAGATGGAGGAAAACTCTAATTTGAATGGTGAGGACAGCAGGAATTCTTTATCCCTTGCTATAATGAGGCTGGGGAAAGCTGCTGTGTGGTCATGTAAACACTGTGTTGTGCATAGTGTACAATTGTAGGGCTATTCAAAGACACAAAAGACATGACTTGGGTATCAGGAAACAAGGAGAAAGGAATTCTTGTGGTCTGACAACTTGCTACTTAGGTGTTTATGCCATTGCTGCCTAGAGCCATAACTCTCTTCTATGGTTGCTCGTTTAGCAGATTTCAACTTGATGTTTCTTTGCAGCTCAACAAAACCACCTGCTGTTTCATTACAAAATACTGGCTGACTCTTGCTTAAGTTTCTCACATAGAAAGATCTAACCCCTGTTCTCATTTGAGGTGAAACACCCATCTCCCAGTCAAGGGAAAGCTGCTGTGCCTGGACACCATTCTGCAATAGATTGCTTGTAAATCTCCTCTTTGCATAGCACTCCCCCACCTTCACTCCACAGGAGGGCCACCCATGTAGGGGACAAGCTGTTGGTGTTGGGAACAACCAGTGTGTTCTGAATTGGAAGTAGATAATAAAAACAAAAGAGCCTGCAGTCCTTAAAGAAAATGTTTTCCTGGCTTCTCCAAGCAATAAAGCTTGTGATGAGCTTTCCAAAGAACATTATTCTCCTTTCTCAGCTTTTCAGACAAAATATTTATAGTGCCAGTGCATCACCGTGATCCTGCTCAAACAGCCTTTGCATAATGAGGTTGTTGTTAGGTATAGCTGTGTCTCCACTTGAGACTAGGTTAATTGGCAGGTCCTCTTCGGTATGTTGTCCGTACACCTGCCCTAGAGAGCTGGGGGTGAGCCCAGCATAAGGCATTTGGGGCTCCAGCTGCAGCACGACCTACTAGGACAGACTAGTCCATCCCCCTGGATCACCTTTACTGCAACCATTCCCTTTGCAATTAAGTTTTAATCTCCACAGTAAAAGCTATCGCTCTCCTCTCTAACACTGAGGGACGCCATTCTTACAGACAAGTGTATTTCCACGAGTGCAAAAGAAGAGTTGTAACCTTTTCTTTGGCGTAACAAGTCTCTTTGGCATTATTCTGCAGTTACTGTTGGTGTAGTGCATAGATGTCAGTATAGCGTGAACTAATATAACAGAAATAGTTTATATATATATATATAACAGAAATGGTTATATATAGATATATATGTATATATTCTTCAGGCAAACATCTTGTTTTTCTCTTTTTATTTAGAAATTCTATGTCCTCCTCCAAGAATTCCCAATGGGAACTTTAGCCCTCCAGAAGCTGTATACAGAGAAGGAGATGAGATCACCATACTCTGTAATTCTGGATATCATTTAAAAGCGGTCACGGGCCAAAACACAGCTCAATGCACCAAGGCTGGCTGGGTGCCTGCTCCAGAATGTGTTAGTAAGTAACGTTCACGAGTGAAGACAAAACATGCAGAATTCTTCTTCTCAAAATATCATAGTAGAAAATGGCCAAAGGAAAAATTCCTCAGCAGAGGAA